CCCTCGCCCGCGGTCCCGCGGAGCTGCCGCGGACCGTGCAGGGCAAGAGGCTCAGGAGCGGCCGGAGGATGGAAGTGGGACGGCTGGGAAATCCCGGGCTCTGGAAATCCCACAGCGCGGCCTCAGTGTTCTCATCTGTCAAAAGGGAGGAGAGAAGGGTTGGACCAGCTGGAGATGCCTTCCAGCCCTGGGGTTTGTCATCTTTTGAGTCTCTAGATTTAAAAAGTTAAACGTGTGCGTGCGTGTGTGTTTATGTGGGTTGGGAACACAGCTTTTGTGATCTCAGAGGCGAAGCTGTAGCCCGGGGAAAGACTGGGGATTCCAGAGAAGCCAGCTCACCATGAGGGCCCCACCTCCCCACCTTCCATTACTCCCACCACCCTGCGCTCACCCGCTGCAGTCGAAACAGGAAAGAACCTTGGCAGTCAAATGTTTCAAACTCGGACATTTTGCACTAAGAAATGGAGTCCAGAGAGAGGAAAGGATTCATCCAGGGTCACACAGTGGGTGCATGGCCTAGTCTGCAGACTATGGTCCATGCATAGTCCTGCCCCTCCATTCACCCCAGCCTAGTCACATCTGAGGCTCGTTCTATCTTCAGAAGGTCCAGGGAGGGCTGTCTTGAATCCTCAGAAGCTCAGGACAACCTATATGCCATGCCAGAACAGGGAACACCCTCCCTGAGCCTTGCCTGGGTCACAGCCCCCTCCCTGAGAGCCCTACTACAGGGCCTGCAGAGTTAGGCAAGTCTGCCTTGGAAGTCTTCCATCCCCTTTACCCAGCTTCCCTCTCTTCTGGGGCCTCCCCTCTGCCTGGCAGCTGGTATTGGAAGCATTAAGGGAGGGGCCAGCCTGGCTGCCCACTCACAGCTGGCTGGGCCAAGACCTCATGTCCTGGGGGAATCATTCTCCTCTCCATCCGTCCCTAATTCCTTCTTGGATATGCCCTTTTCTCTCCATTCCCTCCCCTACTTGACTCCTCTCCCACCCCTATCCTCTTACCACTCACTGCTCCCTCTACTTTCACTCTTTTACGTTACAGAAAACCCAAAGTTTAAAGATGCAGAAGCTGGAATGTCTCCCCACCCGCCCCACACTTCCATGTGTGGTCACAGTCTCTAAGCTGGCAGGATCACGAGGAAAGGAATTGAAAACTGTAAAGGGGTTTGAGAAGGACTGGGGAAACTTTGCTTTAGGGAGGAAGAAGCACAGCGCCTCTGCCTCCCTCCTTCCCCTACTCTGTGCAACGGATTTGGCAGGGGAGGGTCAGACACACAGCTAGGGGGTCACCTGGAATGACAGGCAAGTGTCAGAGCTGAAAACAGCTATAAAGATGATCCTACAAATGGATAAACAGAGGCTGGAGAGGGGAAGTAATCTGACCAGTGTCACGAAGACTATCAGTGGCAGATCCAAACCATTGCCACATAGTAGGTGGGCCCGACTTGGCATTGGAGCCCTCCAGCCTCTCACTGTGAGCAGGTGGCTAAGTCAGTCAGTGGGAGCAGGTTCTTTGGGTTTCTAAGTCCTCTGAGCTACATGTGAAAGGCAGAGGACCACCCATGCCATGCACCTGCATCTGGGCATCTGGAGAGGGTAGGATGGGGGGCTGGCTCCAGAGTGGGGGCCCTGCTTGCCCACTTCCAGGCAGCTGCCTTTCCAGCCTCCTCCCCAGGACCTGCAGGGGCCTACTGCTCCAGCTGTCAGCCCCACCCACAGAATATCTGGCTGGGTTGGGCTGGGCTCGGATAGGGGATGGGTCCTCCTGCATCCTAAAAAGCTAGCATTGGGGTGCCCTCAAACAAAACTGGAGGGATTGGCCTAAAAGGATGTGTCCCAGTCCGTTCAGAGTCCTCACATGCTCCTCCTCCCCTCAACCTTGGGTCCAATGGTGGCAGCTGCTTCCCTGGCCACCTTGAATCTCTCTCCACCTGGTCTCTCTGTGAGGCCCTGAATCCAGGCGTCCTTCATTGACTGTTTCCTCCTCTTGCTTTTTGATTCTCCTCCTTTTGATTCTTTCTCTCTAGGTCTCTGTCTGGTTCTCTGTTTAATTCTGTCTGGGTTTCTCTCCATTTCTTTGTGCCTCTGTTTTGAGATGCAGTGGGTGGGGAGGAGCTTTGGAGCTTTCCCAGAATGGGCAAAGGCCAACCAAGAGAGTGGAGGAGGGAAAGGTGTCAGAGTTGGGTTGGGGGCAGAGGTGACTGTGGTCGTGACTCCGGATAACGCAACTACCCGGAAATGTCAAATTTGGGGTTTCTTTTTGCTTTCAGTCCCCTGGTTTGGTCTCTGTTATTTCCCACCACAAAGCACCCTGGTGGTTTTAGGGGCCTAGACTATAGAGGAGAAAACTGAGGCCTAGGGGATGGGGTCAGGAACATCCAAAATTGCCTAGTGTCTGGACAGAGCTGGGGTCCTAGGTTATGGCCCCTAATGGCCCCTGACCCCCAATTTCAAGTCACAGTATTACATGGGGAATGAGGAAGGATTTTTAAAAAGTCTCACAGGAATACAGTCTTCAAAAGAAGACTGGCCTTATTTTATCAGGAATAATAATAATCCCCAGCCTAGTTTGCAGTTCACAGATTATGCACGTATTCTGAACTGAATCTTGGCAAACTCGTGTACAAACCTGGTTGAACTCTTTGACTCAGTTGTTTCTTGCAACAACTTGTAAGTAGGCAGAGCCAGCACCCTCTCTGATTAGTCCAGAAAAAAGTCCAGTCCACAGCAGTCTAGTCTGGCCAGGAAGTATATAGCTGGCACCAGGATCCAAGCTGTTCAGCTCTGTGGGCAGGGTCTCCTTACAAACTTTCTCAACGTTCCCCAACCTGAGCACACACCGCAGTCTTCACTCTAGCCCATGGTTGTTCTGTGGCACCAAGCGTGGCACCTCCATGGCCATGCCGGTCTCCTGCTGTTGAATGAGGCAGTGTGACCTGTGTGTTACATGGAGGTAGGTTCCAGTTATGCAGGAAGGGAAGATTTATCCCAAGTCCTCTTTCTGGCCCTTGAAGACGAGGTTAGCCATTAAGGAGGCCCTGATGAGGCCCTTACCTTGGGGAGAACGGATTGAGGCCACCTTGACCTAACCATCCCTAGGGGTGGGTGGAGATGGTACAGAGATGCCTTTGTCTCCTCTGCTCCAAGTCTCTTCTTCAAGGAGAGTTCCTGTTGTGTAGGATCCAGAGGGGAGGTGGGGAGTGTGGGGAGGTGAAGAGCCTTCCCAAGAAAGCTGGAGGCATTCCAGGAAGTATCTCCTTGCCCCAGCAGAGAGGGGACAGCTGAAGCCCATGGGCTGTTACGCATCCTGCTTCTGCTGGGACCATCCACTTCTACTTCTGCTCCCACCCACAAGGCTCCTGGAATGGGGGCCACAGGCCCACACACAGCACATACTACACCCTGGAGACCATTGTCCCTGCCTCTCCCGGAATCGCCTCACCCTGGTACATCCCTGTGGAAATACAGCTGGTTCTTGTCCCTGAAGACGGAGTGGCACCCAGGGATGGTGGGTGTGTGCACGTGGTGAGGGAATCTGTGTGAATGTGGGGGAGGGAAAGGGGTTTCTGGGTCCCCAGGGGGAAGCCTGTCCGCCCTTCCTGCCTCTGTCCCCTGTCCTTTACCATTCTTCAGGGAAGTCAGTTTACAGTGAAGTCACCAAGAGAACACAAAGCCTTCCAGCCTGAGGCAGAGCGACTGTCCCAGGTTTCTGGGAATGGAGTGGGGGCAGGGGGGTGAGTGACCAGTGGATGGAAGGGGGAAAGCCTGTTTTCCTTTGCCCAGCTGCCCTGTCCACCTGCCTTGGGAGAGAAGCTTGCAGGACATGGAAAGGAGGGGGTGCAATGTCTGGGCTGAGTGCACCCTTCCTTCCTAGTCAGGAGGGCAGAGAGGAACCCACCCTTCTCATGGCAGGGGTCGGCTGGGAGCCAGGCGAGTGAGAGGAGAGGTGGGCTGTGGGTACCAGGATCCAAGTGGCCTGGCTCTGTGGGCAGGTCTGGCCGCTGTCCTGAGCAGCCCTAGGTCAGGTCTGGCTCTCATCCTTGTCCACGATGACTACCAGGCCCCTCTTCCCGCTGAGCTAGTTTCTCCTCCTTCCAGGCCAACAAGACATCTTTTGTGTCTTAGCCAACCTGGTATGGCCCTCAAGCCCTCTGGGGGTTGTGTGGGAGAGGGCTCTGCATCTCCTTCCCACCATCCCCCACCACTCAGCCACTTTCCTCTGTTATGACCTGAGGGGGTTCCTTGCTCCCCATCCCTGTTTCCCATTGTTCCCCGGTTGATTGCTTGCCCAAACCCACCTACATCTTCCCTGCCTGCTCCCAGCCTCCAAAATCGGCTCCCCAGCCCCAGGAGCCAGTAGGGGATATGAAGTCAAAATGAAGAA